ATTTTGTTTATAAGAAATACTTGGTTTTCTTGAAAGAACAAGTTATTTTAGAATGGCGACATATTAAAATTGTTTATAACATTGACTTGGATTGCATGAGTAAATATATAGAAGTATGTTGTTTGAAAACTACTATAAATGTGTCATAGTTATTGCATAGGAGACTAGGTCATACATAAATGAGAAAACTTAAGAAAATCAAAACATTTAGAATTGGTTAGAGATATAATGAAAATAGATTCTAATAATGAACATTTATGTAATGTATATTAGCTATGAAAATAGATCAACATATATTTTCATCAAATAAAGAACATACTTACCCCTAGACACTAGAACTGCTTCATTTTGACCCATTATTATTATGAGTCTAGGAGAAAAATTATGGCTCCTATTAGTAAAGGATTACACCAAATTGATTGAGGTGCAATTTGGAATATAAGAGTGAATCCTTTGTTAAACCTAAAATATTTTGTATAAGGAATTAAAAGAAGATGGGTTGCACCATTACTAATATTAATAATGATTTTGGCAAAGAATTGTAAAATTAGAAATTTTAATTGATCGATTAACAGGTAGGAATAATGCATAACCTCTAAGCCCTTATAACACCTCAATAGATGGCATAGTAGAGAGGGAAAATAGATCCACAATTGAGGCTACAAGAGAAAAGCTTAATGAATACAAATTATTTGAATGTTTTTGGGCTGAAGCTGTAAACACAACTTGTTACAAGTTGAACAAGGTGAATATTATAATAAGAATGAATAGAACCTCTTATGAACAACTATAGTGTACAACTCAAAATCTTTAGCATTTGCATGTGTTTAGGTGTAAATATTTTATCTAAAATAGTGAGAAAATTAAATTTGGGAAGGAATAAAATAAAGTCAAATGAGGGCATTTTTTAAAGGCATTCCTTCATGCAAAAGACTATATGACACTTAAAAAAAAGGACACTCAAATTTGAAGAGTCAACCCATGTCACATTTGATGAATTTGATAAGGTTGTTTATTTTTATAAAGAATAAGGTGAGGAAGATATGAAATTTAGAGTTTAGACCATAAGTCTAAAAGAAAAACAAGAAAACTAGTAGGCACTACCTAAATATTGGAAGTATACATCGAGTAATCGTAATGAATTAATTATAGGAAATCATTCTAAGAGAGTTAGGATTGAAAAGTCACCTTAGAGAAGAGATTATTCATACCACTATTCTTTTAATAGTTGAACCAATTAGTATAGATAAGTCCTTAACAACCTATTTTTGGATTATAGATACCCAAGAATAACATAATCAATTTGTTAGAAATGATATATGATGATTATTATATAAACATTCTAGTAGGAGTGTGAATTAAATGGGTATTCAAAAATAAGTTAAAAGACTTTAGATTAGTAGTAAGAAAGAAGATAAAATTGGTAAAAATATGTATGATCAAACAGCATTATAGGAAAACCAGCAATTATCGTCGGAGCTTCTAGTAGATAAATATATGCAAAAAATTTTGGCATTTTTACCGACGTTTTATGCGATGGTAATATTATGGCGAATTTACCGGCATATAGTAAGCCGATAAATTTTTGATTCATTTTTCATCGTTATAAACGTTGTAATCTGTTAGCACATAGTATAATATGACGTATTGTACACCAGTAATTTTCGGCGTACAAACTGATGGATATTACACTAGTTAATTTTAAACAGAATGAAATGTTACCGTCAAAAAAGACAATGGAAACATCATCGGCAGCTTATCCACCAGAAAAATCATTGGTTGAAACCCTATTTCTCTCTCTCGAGCCCGTCTGCCTTATTATTTCTTTCCATCGTTTCATTTAGGGTTTCTGCTCTCCTTCGTCGCCCCAGAGAAAGTTGAGGTACTAGACCTAGTGAGGGGATTATAACTTTGGGCTAGCAAGCCGTTAATAAGAGTACATGTTTTGGATATCTTGGATCTATTGTTCATAGTGTTGCAGAGATGAGGATACTCAGGTAGATGAGTGGTTTTACCCTTATATATAGGATCCGAAATGAGCATATACGTGATAAGGTTGGAGAAGCTCCATTGGAAAATAAGATTAGAGAGAGTCGCCTTAGATGGTTTGGGCACATAAAACGACGATAATTATAGGAAGAACATAATTAAGCAATTGTGGTTAGAAGGAAAGTAGACATTAATCCGTCGAAAATGACGGTACAACAAATTTTGTATAGTTTTCTGGCGTATTTATACGTCGGCCTTTCTGGCGGAAAATGCACCGGTTATCTTCGTCGTTTCGTTTTCAGCGTATCTAGCGACATTTGTTCCGTTGGAATTTCTGGCATATTTTTACACTGGAAGTCTGGAAGTACCAGCGTATTTAACGTCAGAATAAGTGATAATGAAGCGATGTAACAACCATCTACTTTTCCGCTGGTTGTGCACCGAAAAGTACGTCGCAAAGGTTTCTAGCATATTATATACACAAAAAATTTTTTACTAACGTACAAATTACCATCGAATGGAAATTCGATGAAAATGCAACTGAAACTTAATATTTATGTCAAAATTTTAATGATACTGGCGTATTCAGTCCGCCGGTAAAACCAGATTTTCCTGTAGTGCAGAACAAATAAGCACTGAGAAAACACTTGCACGAGTTGAAAAATTAGCTAGAGGCCATTAGGTATTGTTAGTATTTGCATATGTTAGACTCAATATGAATAAAATAGATGTAAAAAATATTTTTCTAAATAAAGTTATCAAAGAAGATGTATATGTTGAGAAACCACTAGAATTTGAGAATACTTTCTTTGTTGAACATATTTATAAATTGAAAAAAGGCACTACAAAGATTAAAATAAGCACTTAGGTCATCATATGGAAGGATTAGCATATTTTTAATTGATAAATTTTGGTAGAAGTTACTAGATTCCACATTATTAATCAAATGATTTTTGTCTGATACTCTAATATTAGAATATATATATATATACATACCTCTTCTACAAATTTATTTTATTTTTTGGATTGACATTTGCCCACAATTCGATGCTCACCCTGAACTGATGGGGGATCTGTCCATGCTTGCATTATTTGCTTTTGACTTGGTTTTAAGATATTTATGCATTTTTTCTGTTCTGTAAACTGTAAATTAAGTATTGTTAATATCATTTCAAAAACTCATCTTTGTCTATTGGTGTTGAGAGCTTAGGCTACCAACTAAGAGATTTTGTGTTTGAGTCTTCAGTATGCGATGTGTGTGTGAATCTGCCTTAATTGACCTTATTGTAAAAAAAAAAAATTTAATATCCGGTCAGGCAATAAGGCTGAATGTATTTTTAAGTATGCATGATAAATAATCTATGTAGCATATGCCGCATTGAACAAAACACAAACTTTTAGTGGATAAATTTGGCGAAGCTAATTTGATATACATAATTTCATTTAATTTCTAGAAGTTTTCAAAATTAGGTAAAAATAATTTATTAAATTTAGTAAAGTTAGCTTTCATTTTATTTATTAAAGACTTTTTCCATTTCAAGTCTTCAATCCACCTTGTACTGGTACCATGCAATGCTTTAGCTGTTGAGAGAGAAAATCTACTGGACCCACACATTGCAATGCTTCTGCTATTGAGAGAGAAACTAATGGGGTAAAATATTGAAAGAGAGAGGGAGGAATGACTTTCTATTGTGGATGTACATAATGATGAAACATGTTCTAATTTTTTGTGGCTTAACACAGCAAGAATTTCGTCAATAAGGAAACATGCTCTAATTTTTATAATTTGTAAAGTTATTTATTAATCCATAGAAGCCACAATATCTTTTTTTTTTTTTGACACATGAAAAGCATTAGTGGTTCGTTTTGTTCTTTGCTCCTCTCTCGCGACTCGACTCACGACTGATGACCTCGAGCACAGCTTTCGTTTTCCGTTTCGCTCTTCTCTCGCCCCCAAACGAAGACCTCCCATGGCAGATATTTGTCTTCTAAACTTTAAGGGTCATATTATTTTCATTCTTTTTAATTTTTTTTTTATGTTATTTGCATTGTTAATTCTGATCTTATAGCTCTTCTTAGCTCCATTAATGAGATATCAAACATAATTATTTTAATGTATTCTAACCTTTCAAAATGAGACGACATACATAACTGTTTTAATTTAGTCCTCCCTACGTGGAATTTTTATTGCCTCAGCTTACCTGACGTAGAGATACATCAGGTAGCCTATAATATATCGCCACGTGCTCTTACTCTTTACCGCGAGGCCCGACGACCCAACCCGGAACGAATATGCTCGGTATTGCTAGGTACTACTCGGTATTAGCTCGGTTTTGCTCGGCATTTGGTCGGTATTTGCTCGATTCTGCTCGGTTTTGCTCGGTATTTGCTCGGTATTTGCTCGATTAGTTTCGCCCCGAGCGCTTCCTCGAATCATCTTGCAGTTTGCAGTTTGTGAAGATTGGCATACGAAGGGTCGGCTGCAGCCAATGTGGATGGAGGAAATCAGGACGACCGAGCAAATACCGAGCACACATGGATCTTTTCTCATGCAGTTCTACTGCATTACCGAGCAAGTACCGAGCAAATACAGAGCAAATACCGAGCATTACCGAGCAAGTACTGAGCAAATACCGAGCAATACCGAGCAAATAACGAGTAGTACCTAGCAATACCGAGCAAATACAGAGCATATTCATTCTGGGTTGGGTCGTCGGGCCGCGCGGTAAAGTAAGAGCACGTGGCGATATGTTATAGGCTACCTGATGTATCTCTACGTCAGGTAACCTGAGGCAATAAAAATTCCCCTACGTGGGTGGGTGTTAATATGATTACCCAATGCAGGCTCTCTTATATTGAGGAATCCTCAATGATAACTTCAAATATAATTATGTATCAAATTATATCTTTCAGTCATAATACTTATATTAATAATTTCATTAATACCAAAAAAAAAAGTAAACGAAGGCCGTAGCCATCACCATATTGGAACACTAACATGGCCACTTGCTTACAATTAATCACAACCGCTGCCCCTTTTCTCCATAAAACCCACGCAAATTTTCCCTTTAAGCTCACAACCAGCAAAAGCCAAAGATGGGCCTCTCTAACCACCTCTGCGACCTCTCCGGCGGCTCCATACTCATCCTCCTCGTCACCGTGGTCTCAGCATGGCTCTCCTTCTTCCGCTCTCTACACCTTCACCGCCCTGCAGCCCAAAGATTACAAGCCACCGGTTATTCCTCCCCCGTGGCCGCCGAGCAGCTGAAAGCCTGCCGACCGTATAATCACATCAGCGAGGGCGAAGAGGAAGCCGAATGCGCGGTTTGCCTGTGTGGGATTAGGACAGGGGAGAGGGTGCGACGGCTAGGATGCTACCATCTGTTTCATAGTGAGTGTTTGCACGGTTGGATTAGAGGGAGCAATCCGACCTGCCCACTCTGTAGGTCGCCGTTGTTGGCTGAGGAGCAGCGCGCCGCCGTGGAAAGCCGGATTGCGGCGGAGCACCACCCCTGGTTTTCAACCCACTAGACCTCAAGTAGAGGCTAACTAGTGGTTGGTGGCAATTATGCATAAATCTTTATTGTTTTGGTTCAACTAACGGATTTTTGTAAGAAATCTTTTAATTTTTTTTAAAACGTAATGATTAAAAGTTATTTAACATGCATGAAATTTTATGCTGCATTAATAAAAAAATTATGCATATTAAATAACTTTTTATTATTATTGAAAAAAATAAGAAATTTCTTTGAAGATTTTTTTTTCTTTTAAGAATTTTTTTTTTTGTCGCTTGTTGTGAGAAGAATTTATGCAAAATATTAATTCAAGAAATATTTTACATTAAGTTGTGCTCTATAAATTAGTAATTGATTAATGCTTTTCACACTCAATAAACAGTAGATTTTAGGTCAATATCTTTTAATGATAAAAAATTTATAAATTATATGCTAATAGAAAGGGATTGAGTGGTTGATTTGCTTTATCTCATGTGATTAAGTCAATGTCGAACAAACTAACAACTACCATTATTATGATTGCTATACTTAATACTAAAAAAGTAATAATAAATGATATCGAAAATAAATTGATTTTGATTATAATTATAACTATGTACCTATTAATTTTTTATTTATTACTGTGTTGAGTTGTTGAAAATCTTAGTAAGTATTGATTGTGAGTAAATGATCAGTTATTCATTTTTCAGAGTAGTAGTTTTTATGTCATTAACTTGAGTCACTTATTTTGTGATTGATCGCACATAATTTGAATAAAGGGCATTGCTTGAAAGGGTGTAAATGATTATTTTGTACTAAAATTTGGATTTGATAGATGTATATATTTAATGTATAAACTTAAAGAACTTTATTTTAAAATTAAGGTGTTTTCTTTTTTAAGTATTTAAAAAAGAGATGAAAAGCGATAGATATTTCTTTGTATGACACATTAATATTTAAAATTATATTTAAGTTTGCTTACTTTTTTTTTTTTAATTATAAGGAAATAAAAAGTTCTTTTAGAATTAATTTTTTTTCTTAATTAACATGAGAAAAAATATTGAAGAGAAGAATATATATAGATTAGATTTTTTTTATTCTTTAACTTTTAAATAAGAACTAGTTTTGCTCATAAAAATAATAAATATAGATTTAAATGTTGGATCCAAATTGGTTACTAGGTGATACCTGACCCTACAAGTTTGTTTGGCTAGTTAATTAGAATGAGAGAACCAAGTGACAAAAATGGTAACAGTCGAAAATAAGGAAAAAAACTCAGAGATCTCTATGAATAGTGAAAATAGCATGATATCCATAGTATACCTCTTAACCCATATTTGTAGAATTATGAGTCATACAAGATAGGTTACTCCTTAAAAAAAATTAAGGAAAAAATACAAGATATAATGGATACAAATAGACATAGACATGTTGATTGATCTTAGTAGGATACAAATGCCCCCATGCCTATCATCTTTTCTTCTAACAAGGCAATCAAAAGAGAATTTGGGCATTCTTAAGGAAAGGCTTGTAACTCAAAATCACAAGTGAGTTTCTAGGTTAGCTTTCGAGCGGGTATAGGTGTTGACATTGACTAAATGGGGACTTGGCTTATATAGGAGGAATTTGGACATCCATGCTATGCTGTTTGAATCCTCCTATCTTGATCATTCACTCTATATTATACGGACCACTTTATTGAAGAAGGACATATTGAGCAATCACATACTAACATTTGTGTGAGTCCTATTTCTATGTTGACTATTTAGATCAAGGCCAAGCTTACAATAGGTGCAATGTCCTCGATATTGGAATATATCAATGCTCCACCCATTGTAACTCCACCCCTTTGAAATTCATCCCTCTACCCAAATGCTAGGAGGCTAACACTAGGTGATTTCATGCCTTAGAAAGAAGGAGCTTACTAGTAACTATGTCAAGTATGAGAGAAGGTTTGAAGTCCTATAGAAGATAGACATAGTGAATGATGAAGCCTCCACATTTTTCTAGGAGGTTTTGGAGATGGGGCCCAAGGAGTTGTCAATATATAGGCCTCTAAAGCCATATGTATTAAATTAGTTCTTGTCTAGTGGTTACATCATCCTGCATCATCAAAAAGAGTTAAGGTCATATCTACTAATGTTTTTTAAGATTTATTGAATAGGTTATTTTTTTATGGAGCGAGTAGACTGGTCCTTATATAATGTTGCTTATATAAAACTTATGTATAAAAAGTAAAATTAAGTAATAAAGTTTTCTGATAAATTCATAATCTTCTTATTTAGAATTAAAACTTATAGTTTATTCTTAATTTGTTTTTCTTCCTATTTAATTTTTGTGACCACTCTTCATTTTTTTAAAAGGTGAAGAATATTTACTTTTTACTTCTTTACATGAGAGTAACACCTTGACAAGTAGTCGAGGATTACTCTTTCTTGGGAAAATTAAGTGTGATATTTTGTTTGGCAAGTTGGGTACCATCGCACATTGAGCGAGTCAAGCATGACTCTTTGTCAATTTATTGAGAGTGACTTTGAGTAGGGTGAATGAGGGAAAAGAGACTCCATATTTTCAAAACAATGAGAGGAAGGGGTGAGTGATGAAGTAATAATGAGTGTGACTGAGCATCATAATTTAGGCCATCAATTTCTCTATAAATTACCTTTCACCATATGCTGCAAGATAATTTATATTTATTTCTCCCTTTTGTACTATCCTTTTCCCTTTTTCCATTTTATTCTTCACTGATGCTAGCCTTCCCATTTGAAATGAAGATTTTATTGAGGTTCTGTAAGCATTTGTCAAGTTTAAGAATTATCAAATCTATTGTGCAATTAATATGTTTGCGAATATGATCTTCTTTGAGTACCATTAACTGTGCATCACTTGTAACAACTTCAAGAAAGGCTTGTAACTCAAAATCTCCCCAGAGGCCAGTGAGATCCTCAATTTCTACAATTTTATGTAGGTACAAATTATGCAAAACTTTGTGACTAGTACACTATCCTTCCTCTTGCACCTACAACAGAGAATTTCAAGTAGAGGATCTCCTCATTCTATCATATACTCATTACTAATTAATTCAGGAATGGAAAAGTTCAATTCTCCTAACTTTATGTGAGGATGTGCGCGCTATCAGTCAAGGTGTTGGACTTAAAGTTCATCTTCATGCTGATTAAGTAACAAGTTAGTTTGGCAGTGTCGTTTAACAATATCATCCACTATACCAAGGACAAAGTTACCTTCCTCCCACTATGTGATTTTGAGCTTTTAGAAATTTAAAGAGAGTTCTCTTCTAATTTCATGCTCATGTGAACACATGGGCCATGCATGACATGTTTTATAGTATGTTCTCACCTCTTCGACATAATATTTCTAATTTTATTTTGTTAGGTGTTAACACAAAGTTTTCCTCTAGGTGATTATACCCAACTATATTTATCATGAAGATACCTTTATATTGGAATTCCTCAATGTGAACCCTCGTTTTATAGAAGAGGAGGCAAAAAGAAAAGGAAATCTAGAGAGAAGTCATTAGTGAGCTTCAAAGTATGGCGATTGATGGGTGGACTTATGTGTATAAGCAAGTAATACAATTACAGACTGCATAATAAATACTTGTTATGTCAATGCTAAGTAATGCTTAAGTTTTCTTTGATATGTCAATAGTGGAAGCCAACATAAATATGTGGAAGTATAAGCATCAAATCAAATAATAAAGTATTGAAGTAGAGTGTTGAACCTACGAGGAAGTAGTTTGCTTACTTGCAACAAAAAAACTAGTACTACTTATTATAAATGCATAAGTTATCTTACTGAAATAAAATTAACATTTTTGGATTTTCTATCACTGTATAAAAATAGTTGAATAATTAATATAATGCTTAAAATACTTTGAAATTACGAATGCAAAATATTATAAATTTTCTTAGGAGACTCTTAATTGTAGATGTGATTCAAAACATGTGCATCCCCAGATCTCTATCAAACTTGTAGGGGTGAAAAAGATATCCACTGACCTTTAATTATTCACTTTCTTAATCAAAAGAACAATGTATAAGTGTATAACTTATAAATCTAAGTTAAGTAAATAGCTTAAATGATCAAAGTTAGTTAATCATTAAAATTTTTAATATATGAATTATAATGCAGTGTTTATTTAAATTATAATCTAGAATTTTATTATTATCCTCTTTTTACATAATTTTTAATTATCATTTTCATACTGATTAAATAAATAATAAAAAACTCTTGATATTAATGGAATATAATGTAACATTATAAACTTAAGGAGAAATAAATCAAATGTAAATTCAAGCAATTTGGAAATATAATTAATGACACATGCTTTTGAAAATATGGATGTTAAAAGGCTAAAAAAATAAGTGATACATATAAAACTAAGCAAATAAAATAGGATAACTAGTGCTTAAGACACCATAATAACATTACAATAACCTTGGCTCTTATCGCCATATGTGGGTTGCCTCCCAGAAGTTATTTTAGCCAAACTATACCAATAATTTTATTTTAGGATGAACTATTTCAGTTATATTTATGAAATAATAAAAAATTTCACCAAAATAATATTTCATTATGTGCTCATTAACTTTAAAAATATGCAGGCTTTTGTTATCCTAAACTTCCACGGTTACATAAGAAAATATTCTCAAGACCGTGAATGGTATTGACCACCTAATATTTATTTTTCTAGAAATAACTTAAGTATTGATTTAAGAAGTTAAAAATCCTACCCAAGCGTGAATTCTTTCCTAAGAATCTTATGTTTTTGCCATTTTTTTAACTTTATCTTCATAAATCCTTGCATTTTCGTAAGCCTCATTTCTGATTTCTTTCAATTCATTTAATTGCATAAATATTTTCTATTTCAAATTTTTAAAATTTGAATTAAATTATTTAATAACATAGAATTCCTTATGTTCTAATCCTACGGGAAAGTGGGAAGCTATTCCAAAAATTAATTTACAGGAAGTCAAATTGATAAGGATTTTAAAAGCAGTTTTACAGGTTCATATTGCATCATCTAACTTAATAGCTCAATCCTTCATATTAGAAATGATAGTTTTTTTTTTTCAAAATTTGCTTAATCTACAAATTACCCACAATAC